AGAAGTAGCAGAAGTAGTAGTAGTAGAAGAAGTAGAAGAAGTAGTAGTAGTAGTAGAAGCAGCAGTCATGACAACTCATGACATAGTGGTGGTAGTCGTCATCGTAGGAGTTGTTGTTTTTTTTAAATTCCGTGTTGTAGCAAGAGCCGTGGCAAAGCAATGGAACGAGGACAGTAAGAAGTCACATATGTTTTGATCTGGTTTCCTGTGGCATCATGAGAGCCACACAATTGAGGACAATGTTCGTTTCAATGCCCCAGGTGCCTGTGGCTGTACTCGGATGTTCCACTTGACTCGTGCCGTCATGATCTTCAGCTCCATCGGCTGGACTCGAACTAAGCTGATGCAAGAATCCTCAGTTTGCAGTTTGGCCTGAGCTGAAATCTCACAAGTTACTGGTGTCAACGCAAGCTCTTCCAGAGCAAGCATCGTGTCGGAGTCCATATTCATGGAGCTTTCGGGAGTTCTGGAGAATCCTCAGGACAGTAGATGCTTGACCATGCTGCAATGACGAGGCCCTGCCACTTCCATGTGTAGGTTAGGCATAAGCCGAAAGAGTGCTTCGTCACTGTGGTGGCTTGCAGGCTGAAGTACGTGCTAAGCGCGGGTCTCATCTTGAAAGAGCAGCGACTGCTCCTGGACTGGTATGCGTTCTTTGGTCTCAATGTCGCTCTTCAGCTCCGCGACGGTTTGCAAAGTCCGGGCCTGCGGATAAGGGCAGCAGCCAGGAGAAGCAGTACAACATCAACGAGCCTTCACAACAGAACATCAAACATGTGCTGTGAATGACCAACCCTTTTCGTAAAAGCTTGACAGCTGTTCGAGGATCACCGTCTCAAGACAGACCAGACTGACCCAAAAAGGCCTGCAGAACCAAGGCCCGACCGGACACCATGAGGACAGCCAGGCGGATCCTTGGACTTCAGTGGGTAGTAGAAGGTCTGCACCATAAGTCCAGTGGTTTCTCTCAAAGTCTTTGCCGCTTGCATCGCTACTGCTAGCCTTTATGAGGCTCTCCGCTCAACGTTCTGCAAACTCCTCTGTCATTCTTGGAAACTTCTGTGCTTGCAACCCGATGGGCCGAGCACTGCTGAGCCAATGCGAGGCTGGCCGCAGTGCATTTCGATCTGTCAACTTTAAGGTAGAATTAATCGAGCTGCATGCTGCTTGATGTGTTGTGGGCATGAACCAGTAATGAAGACTTCGCCCTTCCTTCCTGTTTCACAAAGCTTCGCAGCTTGTCTCGAACATGCTGCGTGTTGGAACAAGTGCTGCAACTGCAAGATCATGAAAGCTGCAACGGCAAACTGCGGGAGTTCGAGGCCACTCGCTGTTTGGTCACCAGCCGACATGCAGCTGCGGCTCGTTTCATCCTCAATTTCTGCCTGCACAATCTTGCTCAACGACATGGGAGCCTCGGCAACATCGAATATGCGAGAGATCGAGCAACACGGAAAATTTCTTGTGCACATCCGCCCGAACTGCCAGGCAAGCGGCTTCCGGCATGGCTGTGGCAGCGCGGACAACCATCTCTGCGGTGCCTGAGAGATGAGGGGCTCACCATCGCCCGGAACGGCTAACACTCCCAAGGCAAACGTGGTACAGCTCACTGGTTCGGACTACAAGATAGTCAAAATGCATATACGAGGCCAGCAGAACTGCATTTTTGGCGCGGAGCAGATGTTCGTCTCAACCAATTCGACTATTAAACCTTGTCAGGCTTCATTTCTACTCATTCAGACTCATTCAGTTGATGCCATGAGGCGTTGCAGCGTCTTTCTGCAACAACTTTCTGAGCATGGTCCCATAGCTTGATGGGAATGCTTTCGAGGATGCTTCCTTCCTCTTCGGGCCGTGGCAGTTCAGAAAGCCTACAAGTAGTGCGGAGAGCTGAAGATCCAACGCCCCGTTCGAACTCAGGACTTCGAGAACCCTCCCAACAGAACTCCACAGCCGAGCTTTCTGTCGATCTGGGCACTGTTCCAAGCTTGAACGTAAAAAAAAGCGGTCTGAGAGTTGAGGGCTCTCTGTCCGAGTCCCAGTCCGAACTCACAGCTCCGCCCCCTATCACGTTTGGGCTGTGTTTCAGGGATTTTCAATGACGCCCGGGCTGAGTGGAGTTTGAACTGTACACTCTGCAGGTCCAAATATATTCGAAGTGTGTCCAAGTGCAAGCTGGCCCTATGCTAAACACATTATACACATTCCAAGCACATCCTGGATCGCACAAAAACGGAAGGCATGTGGGCTGTCGAACACGCCTGAGAAACACAAGCCTGATGCTTCGACTTCTCCAAACCACGTTCAGAGAATAAAGGAGGTACACGACTTGCACGACTTCAGCTCCCCCGCTCGACTTCTTGGATCTGAGGCTCCTGCTGTCCCCGGAATGAACGGAAGGAGCTTCACCTGTGATCTACTACAGTATTAGGGGCGACTGACAGGAAGACAAGCGTTGTTCTGGCTCAGAGGCTGTTTTCAAGATGCGTGCAAATGATGGATAAAGAAAAGGGCCTGCACAAGGCGACAGTGACATCAAGCTCATCAGCGAAGGCAGTGTCCATGTTGAGGTTTCCATGTTCTTCGGTAAGTGCTCGGGGCTTGAGATGTAAAGCTGCAGCAGGCAAAATGAAGGAAAACTGCCAGGAGGAGTTCAGAGTGAAGGGCAGGGCGGGCATGCCCTGCAAGGGCTGCGAGTCGGGCACCGGCGCCGGCACCGCCTTTAAGATGTCTTCATTCACCCATGATTCATTGATTGACTGTGGGTGCAAACACCACTGCGCTCAGTCTATCTTTGAGATGCAAGGCAGCCGTGATGTCTGCTAGCATGGGTCCAGGTTGACTGCAGTTTCCCTCGCATTCTTTTAGCGGCAACGACGGCCCGTGCATTAACGGCCCACCACTGGTTGCAGCAATTCAGTTAAGAATCACTGCTAGAGGGCTTCTTGCAATTTCAACATGTGAAACGACGAAGATCATCAAGCTTAGGGGGTGTACCGCTGCTATAGCCCGGGCAGGCTTTTTATCAATGATAAAAGTTCTCATCGCTGGTTGCATCATTGTGAGTATGGTGACAATCATGACTGCGATCATGCATATTATTCGTGTAATCGCCACTGGCAGAGGATCTCTTCGAGACCTTTGCTGCGAAGCTTGGCTCCAGGGAAAAACACGTGCCACCAACTATCCTTGCCTAAACCTGCATGCCGGGTGCAACTTTCTAAAGAGAACATGGATCGGTTAGCAATTTTTGGACTGAGGGTTCTAGCCGACGAAAAAGGGTCGTCCCCTGATCGCGAACAGCCTCCCATGCGAGGAGGACAGCATCTTCAGTGCCAGCTGAGACCTCAAGCGACACAGAGCGGTCAACTCAGCACAACACCTGAAAAAACCAAGAGTTTCGCAGATGCGAACACCGCCTTGCTGCAAGGTCATGTCGCATGCCTGTTATGTCGTGCGCCCTTATTCACATTCTCTTCCCAGTCTCTGCAAGGCCGCATGATGCAGGGTGAAGACGCATGCAGAGCATTCGACAAGCGCCCTAAGCTCCAGTCGCCAATTGGCTGGTCGTCTCAGCCTGCCAAGGCAAGGACGATGCGCTGGGAATGAGCATGGCAAGAGACGAAAGATATGCACTGACGAAGCCAACATGTAACCGTAGAAGCTCTGTGGCTCTGTATAGTGAGCTGCGGCTTGCCGCTTGCCATTTCGATTCATATTGCCGTATCACAAGTGTACACCTCAACGAATCAATTGCAGGTTCAGTAACTAGTATAATCTAGTACATGAGTGCGGAAGAGAGCAGATGACTTCAGACTATAAGGCCAGGGATAGAAGCGAGGGACAAGTCGGTGCCTCCTGAGAGGTGCCAGCGTCGTCGGAGCCGCGGACCTTGGCACAGGGGCGCTCGGGCGGGGTGCAGGGACCGCAAGACTCGCAAGACTCGACCAACCTGAGGGCCTCACGAGACGGAGCCGGCGGACCTCGGCAAGGCGCGTAGATCTGACACTTTGTGTCTGACGCGGCAGTTTCCACCGAAGTACCTGCATTAGACACAGACATGTCGAACTTCTGGAAGGTGCAAACGATTTCGCAAGAATTGCTTCGTTGTAGTCTGCCCTAAACATCCCTAAACCGTGCCTCCCGTAGAGGTACGGGGTGCTAAGGAACATATAAAGGGCTTTAGTTACCGTGGGCGCGAGGCGCACACAGCCTGCAGCCCGCAGCGGTTCCACGGCTCCCCCAGTGCCGTGCACGTTTTCGGAAGTCGCATTCTTTCCCATCATCCAGCGACGTGTCACAGCTCTTGGGTTGAAATCGCGACTTGCATTTCCGCCCCTACAAAATTTGCGCCCGCTTCTTCCGGGATCTTCCGGGGTGCTCGAGGTGCGTGTTCCATTGCGTTCCCACCAAGATGTGGGGGACTGCCAGGCACTCTTTGCTAATTTTCGTTGCTTGCCATGGGTCTGCACATGTCTAACATTGCGCTGGCATAATACTTGCCATGCCGGTTCCAGCATCGCACCGGACACATGACCCTGGCACCATGTCGGCGCCCTCGTAGGTGCGCGAGCTGAGTACTTGAGTATATGGTCCAGCAATCCGTCCGCATCTGACCGCTGCATGCATGCGCCATCATGCGCCGTAACAACGCAGAAGTCTCGCCCCGACGTAGCTGACTGAAGTGGGTCCGTCTCTCAGTCTCCCATGTCTCCCTCGTGCCCTTTGGTGCGTCGAAGCAGCGAAGCAGTAAGTGCAGCCAGCGGCGGCATAAATACGGGCCTGGGATGCGTCGTGGCAATGATTGGCAATGTATGCTTCTTTGATAAACGTCGGAAGCTTGGCAGTGCTGTTGGCCGATCTTTTTTCGGCTCACGCAACAGAGGTTGCCCACCTGCCAACAGCAGGCGGTGTCGGTCTATGGTTTGCAGTACAGCCAGCGCCCTCACCAGAACCCCGACATTGGTTGATGAGACTGGGAGAATATGTGTGTAGAGATTCATGTGCTTTGAAGGGCGGCTTCGTCTGCCGAGAGTCTGTACAAGCCTGCCGCGCGGGCAAGCATCACTCTGGCAAGCTAACCTTGCAAACAAAGATGGTCCATCGTGGGAGAGATAAACCACATTCTGAAGCAAGTGCATTTTCCGGAAAATGCGACGGGTCAGACTTAGGTCTGAAACCACTGCGAAGTGGATGACTCCACGGAGACTGTACAACGTTCATGCAAAAAACGGCTCTTTTACATTGCGGCAGCTCAGTATCCTTAGCACACCACATTCTCAAACTTTACTCTGATCTGTCTGCCTTCAGACAGCTGGACTTCATATCGACGGGCCGAGCGGTCGACATCCAGGACCTGAGCTCTCTGGCCATTAAGATCCTCTCGGTTCAGGCCGCGCAGGCGCACGCACATCCCGACACTGAGGATGCAGTTCGCCGGCTGGAGACGTATCACCGTCGGAGCTGCGGCCTGCACCATAACTACGTACCGTCCACTCGTAGTGTCCATGCCCACAATTCGTCCGGATCGACCGTTGAGCTCCGGTTTGCTGGTCAGGCCATGAACAGTCACTGTGCAAAGCTGTGTCAAGTTCTCGGGGCGGACCGATATGTTGGTGCCATCGTCCAGTTGGACCTCGTAGCGGCTGCGAGTTTGTTCAAAGCCTCGGATTTGGCCAGTCTTCCCGTTGTGTGCGGCAGAGCTTGACAATCCGTGGATAGTCACCTGATGTCCAGCAGGGATGGTGCATTGTTCACGAGGGCGACGCCTTGAGCGTGAGCTTGTGGCACCTCCTGGCATACCCATGGACATGAAAATCTCCGACATGTCGATGCCGCCGCCCATGTCTGGCATGCTCATACCAGGCATTCCCATGCCATCCATTCCACTCCCAGCAAACATATAGGAGCCCTGTGGCATTCCCCGTCCACCAAAAATGTTTTCAAAGATCTGCTGTGCTTGCTCTTGGGTCATGCCAGTTCCAAATCCTGGAGAAGCGTGAAAACCTGGAGCTCCAGCGTTATCGGCGCCCTCCTGCCAGGAGACTACACTGCGTGCCTGAAAGGAGCCTTAGAGGGTCCTTCAAGGCCAGGGACTCGGATTAGAGCTTTGGGAAACACTTCGGCCTTTCCGTACTGGTCATACATCTTCCTTTTTTCAGGGTCGTGCAGGACCTCGTAGGCTTCGCCAATTCGTTGGAACTCCTCCTTGGCTTTCTCCATCCTGCTCAGCTCAGCTTGCGACATGCAGGCTGGTGCGAAAGTGCAGACGCAGGAATTGAGCAACGCGAGTCCTGTCGGTATTCCTGTCCGGGTGGTGCTTTAGAGCCAGCTTCCGATATGCCTGTACAGGGCTTAGAGCCCACAGGCACATTGAGGGCGTCTCCGTCAGCTGTTCATCCTCCCTTCTGGCCTTTGTGATGTCCGCGTCGCTGGCATCTCGGGGCACACCAAGGACTTCGTAGAAATCCGCGGAATGGACATTAGCTGCCTCAGCCAGGAAGTTGCTGGGACCTGCTTTCTTAAACATCGAGTCTCAGTGGACCGAGAGAGACAGAGAGCGAGAGAGAGGGAGTGAGCAAGTAAGGAAGTGAGAAGGAGTTACCGACAAAAGGATAATACACAAGTCATATGCATCTGTACAATACATACACGCATACATAATCATGCATACATGCATACATAATCATACATGCATACATACATACATACATACCTACATACCTACACACCTCACACGTACACACATGCATATACAAATGCATGCATTCAGATCTGTGCACGTACGAGCGACGTACGTGCGGACGTACATGCAGACACAGACAATACAGATTCCAGATACAACAAGATGCATGCAAACACAATCACACGTGCGCAAACAAGAACAGACGAGTTCGACACCCGACGAGCATACCAAAATGGTACGACGGACAGACCCTGTTTTTGTCTCTCGGCCGCCCTGCTGGCATCGTCCTCCACGACGATTCTCGTCGTAGTGCTGCTCGGCGGTGAGCCTCGCGTCTTCCCGGCCGAGGAGCTGCTGGGGGCCGAGGAGATCCTGTCGCCGGATGTACTGGGAGCACAGCCGGGACAAGCTTTACACTCCCGTCGGCCTCGGCGAAATCCTCTCTCCAAGCGCACCTTCTCGGCGCCCAAGGTGGTCAACCTCTTGGCGGTGAGACGCAGCGCCGGCGCGGCAAAACACCAGCTCAAGATCGACAAGCTCCTGGTGCCGCGCGCATTTGGGCCGTCGTCGACAGCCTCAACGCCATCCGGCCTGGCTGGGTGCTCATCCAGCTGGGAACCGACAAGGCGGTCATGGCGTCTACATGCGTCTACGTCGATTGGAGGGTGAACCAAAAGCCCGCCTCCGCTCCCACCAACTCGACGCCGTGGCCGACTATTATTGGGACGCCACTACCAAGAGACCGCCGGCGAACCACCAGTACGAGGACAGTGCCCTGGAGCCCGGCGCCCGCGACGAGGCCAACCGGCCCGGTGCCAAACTGGCTGTGGGCCCATGAGCGGCCGGCGCTGGCGCTGGCGGCACATCCCACTGGCGACGTGTCTCGCACCACA